CCATCATCTTCATTTAGGCAGTTAGGATCTTTCGATTCAGCAGGATTTTCATCGTGTGGAATGCTTTCGTTCCGTTGTGGATACTTTCGACGAGGGTGAAATTTTCCCACAGTAATCGGTCCATCATCGTCATTTACACAGTCGGGGTCTTTAGAACAATTAGGACGTTCAGTTTGCGGAATTTGTAGATTGACCTGTGTCGATTTGTCTTCGACGGGCGGTCTCGGTTGTTTATTTTTCGCATCTCGTCGATTTGGACACTTAGGGTGCTTGGAACAGTCGGGAGTTTCTATTTGAGGGTAGTGTTCATTACAAGGCTCGATTTCGATTGAATTAATTATGTTAGTGCATATAGGTGATTTTGGTGGGTCTGGTTTCTCACGTGGGATTCGTCCTAAATACATAAATTTGATGAAATAAAAGGTTTATTACAGTGAGTAGTGATGTGAATTTTTTAAGGGGAAAGATGTTGGCGAACTGACTGTGAACATCAGTATTGATTCTTCCTAACAACTGCACCCACCTCCGGAAATATAATGATATATGTACAGTATCATAAGAAACACTGAGGGTAGATCAAATGCGGAGAAAAAAAACAGTTTGAAGAACTATTGTTTTCAGTACTTTTGGGTAGTTTTTTAGCGTGGTTATAAAAGCAGAACTACTAGTAATCATCATTTAAAGTTTCGAGTAGTCGACTTTTTACCATTAATTCGAATAGAATGGATGGTGGAAGATTTGGACAAAAGTATCTTATGAGTTTTTTTTTTCGCACTGTAATAAACAGTGTTTGCTTGATAAAGCAGAAATACTCTGAGAAGCTGAAGAAGAATTTCTATAGTTTTGTCATAAAAGTCGTTTGTATAATATATATGAAAATAATTTACTTTGTGAACTTCAGCTCACTATCAGAACGATTTTAGATGCTTAGAAGCTATGATTTGTAATAAATGTTACCCTTAACATTGATAGTGAATGGTCCCATTTATTAGTATAAGAGCTGAGTGGAAACCATAATCTGGTACTTATGAAACTATAGGATTGGTTTAGCTATCTTGAAGAATAGAAATATCTAACGTTTCCTCTGAGCAATCAGCTTCTTATAACAAAGTTCACTGTTAAAATTTCATGTAAAACTGTTCATTCATGCTGTTGTAAACAATTAATACAAAAGTATGTGTAATGTGTTTTGAGAGTATTTCAGGAAAGTCATTCGGAAGAGTATAAAATAGATAGGATGTGAGAAGCATAGAAGAGGGTAAGGGTGTGAAGTGAAAACCAACTTAATCGGATGCTTTTTCGCTAAA